CTCAGTGGGTGGTAGGAACCAACAGTCTGCGGGGTTCAATCGTGATGTGAGTAGGTCATGTGCCGCTTTGCTCTGTGTTGGATGTGTGGATATCCTTGTCTGCGCTCCGCCGCTGCCTTGCTGCCTGTCCCGCTTGCTTCGTGTGTGGTTCTTTGCAGGTTGATCTGTTCGTTGTGCGGTGTGGCTGTGTTGTTGGTGTTGCCTTGCGCTTCGCTGCTCCGCTGCCGTGCCTTTCGTGCTTGCCGCTTGTGTGCCCTGTAGGTTGGTTGCCTTGTTGCTGGTGCCTTGTGCTACGCTCCACGGTTTCCCAGCTGCTGGCTCACTCGCCCTGTCATCCCCTACAGTGCTGTTGCCTTGCTTGTGTTGCCTTGTGGTTCACTACAAGGCTGCTGTGCTGCGTGCCATGTCGTTCCTTGCAGTCGTTTTTGGCGTTGTGCAGCCGTGTTGCCTCTACTGTGTTGCCTGGTGCTTCACAGGGTTGCTGCCCGCTGTTATGTTCCTCTTGGGGACAGTCTGCCTTCAACAAGGGTCAAAGGGTTCATGACCCAAACCATCAAATACGGGGATTCCGCAGATTGTCGAGGGTTCAGCCTCCTGATGAGTCAGTGCAATCCCGACGAAACAATCTTGTTATCATCAGTTTCTTTTTTTTTTTTGTCCTTCGGCTTTCTTGGGACTTTCATTTTTTTCGGTTTGCCTGTTTCCGCCGGTGCTACTTGTTTCTCTGCTCAGTGTCTTTGCCTCGTCCTATCAGGTTTTTTGTGCCCGCCCGCCTCCCCCGTGCCCTCCAGCCTATGTGTTTTGTTGTTGTGTGTCGTTTATGTGCCTCGTACGTCTTCTTAGTGTGCATTACATCCTGTTTGTTCTTCCCTGCCTCCTCCCCATGTGCTAGTCTGTTTGGCTTCAACATTAGGGCATTCAGCTTCTCTTTGTTTGCTTGTTTTGGTCATGCCATATGAAGTGGACGATTTATTTCCTGGTGTGTTGCTTGATGTGCTTTTTCTGCGCAGCACGCCACATCTGTTCACGTGGGGGTTTCATATCATATTACTCTCTCTCTCTCTCTCTCTCTCTCTCTCTCTCTCTCTCTCTCTCTCTCTCTCTCTCTCTGTGTCTCTCTCCGCTTTCTCTCCCTCCTGTCTCTTATACACATCTAGATGTGTATAAGAGCCACCCCCCCCCCCCCCCTTCTCTCATCGCCATTCCCGCCAACA